TTAACTGGAACTTACTAGAACAAATCAGTGAGTTTAGTAAAGAAATCTAAGATTGAGCTACAACAGTAACTCTCTTCTCTAGCAATAAACAACATAACAAAAGACACAAACAAAAGCTAACAGAACCTTGGTCTCCTGTGGGGCAATGCTCAGTGTTCTAGTGGTTATAGACTTTTCTTCTTTTTTCTTTTCGGATGAGAAACAACTGAGTGCCCTGGATGCTGGATGCCCCTTGTCCCATATTCCTCCATAAAGAGTATGGCTCACACCACCTGATAACACACAAACTTCATTTCCTTATCTACACCTTGCTTCCATCCACTCAGAGAAACATTGTACAAGGCTCTTGCATCAGGGTCACAGCCACATAGAGGAAGGAATTGGCTCTGGCACAAAGGCTGTATAGAGGGGTGGTATAGCCTGAAACCAGTAAGGGAAATAAACTGTGAATATGCAAATCCATAACCTTCTGGGAACCTGAGATCTGAGGCAGCTACACAGGCTTCTGGCATGGAACCCTGGAATCCCAGTCCAACATCAAGGACCAAGGCTGCAGAAACTTGCAGGTGCCATTCCATTGCACATCCTTGGGGCCATATGTTGATCCCAGCAGCTGAGAGAAGAAGAATTCATCTCAGAATAACAGTCTGCTCAGAATTAAGTCTTCCGTAGACATTTGCTTCCTACTTGGTAGAGTCTACCTTTGCCACATGTTGTTTTATAGTTTGTGTGTATTAATGAAGTCTTTTCTTTAGGGGTGAACTATCTCAGGGTTCTGCTTTGCATGATGCCAGCTTATAACTAAAACTCCCAAACTGCTAACATCCAAAAGTTAGTGACTCATGATCACGTGAGAAAAGAAACATTAACATTTAATAGAAGATTACTGCTTTATTTATATGCCTTGACTATCATGGCTAATCACTGGTTTTTACTAGGATGAACTGTTATAGTCAAAACCATTAGAGTTTTAGAGTTTAATAAAAAAATGGTAATATGTTTACCTTTCCAAAAAAAAAAAGTAATTGGAATCCCAGAAGGATTAGAGAGAAATAGGGAATAAAATATATTTGAAAAAATAATGACTAAAAAGTTTCCAAATATTGTGAGAACTATAAATCCATAGGGCAAGGAATACACTGCATTCCAAGGGGAGTAAATGCAAAGAAACCACTCCAAGGAATATCTTAAAATTATTGAAAACCAGTGATAAAGAGAAAATCTTAAAGAACTCTAAAATAAAATTGCTGAAAACCAGTGAAATGAGTAAAATCTTAAGGGAATCTAATCTAAATCTACATAGTTTATTCGACACATTATGTAGACAGAAACAAAGGCAGTAAAAATTGAACTTTTCATCAGGAACAGTATAAGCCATGGGACAATGGGATGACATCTTTAAAGGGCTTCCAGGTAAAAAGTCAACCTGGAACACTAATCCAGCCAATACATCTTTCAAAAATTAAAGTGAAATAAGAAATCAAAGAGAAAAAAATTCCTGGAGACAAATACGAATGAAAACATAGCAATCCAGAATCTTTGGGACAAAGGAAAATTAGTTCCAAGAGGGACTGTATAAAAATATAAGGCTACCTCAGGAAACAAACAAAAAAAAATTTCAAATGTAAACAACCCAACTATACACCTGAAGGAACTAGAAAAAGAAGAACCGACAAAACTCAAAGTGAGTAGAAAGAAAGAAATCATTAAGATCAGAGCAAAAATAAATGAAATAGACTTAAAAAAAAAGGAAAAGATCAATGAAACATAAGAGTTGTTTCACTGAAAGATAAACAAAATTGATAAGCCTTTAGCCAGACTCATCAAGAAAAAAGAGAGAAAGCCCAAATAAATAAAATCAGAAATGAAAAAAGAGAAGTTACAATGGACACAGCAGAAATACAAAGAATCATAAAGAGCAAAGGACTATTACAAACAACAATATGCCAATAAAATGGGCAACCTAGAAGAAGTGGACAAATTTCTGAAAACCTAATACTTTCCCAAGACTGAACCAATTAAAAAAAAGAAAATATGAATAGACCAATCACCAGTAACAAAACTGAATCAGTGATAAAAGAAACTCCCCCCCAAAAAACAGTCCAAGACCAGATGGCTTCACAGGCGAATTCTACCAAACATTCAGAGAAGAGTTAGCACCTATCCTACTTAAATACTTCACAAAAGTGAAGAGGAAGGAATGCTTCTGAACTCATTCTGTGAGGCCAGCATCACCCTGAGACCCAAACTAGACAAAGATATCACAAAAAAAGAAAATTACAGGTTAATATCACTGATGGACATAGATGCAAAAATCCTCAACAAAATATTAGCAAATTGAGTACAACAGTACATTTAAAGGATCATACACCATAATCAAGGGGGATTTATCCCAGAGATGCAAGAATGGTTCAGTATCCACAAATAAATCAGTGTGATACAACATGTTAACAAACTGAAGAATAAAAATCATATGATCATCTCAGTAGAGGCAGTAGATTAAGAGGTACAAAATTCCGGCTGCATGGAAGTGAGTGAGTCACGGTATGAAATGTACAGTGTGGGGAGTAAAGTCCGCAACTATGTAATATCTGTAGACTTGTTGTGGTCATCAATTTGCAATGTATAGAAGTATCACATTACTCTGTTGTGTTAGTGGAACTAACACATTTAGTATTTATACTAAACTAATTTAGTATTATAGATCAATTATCCTTAAAAACGAACAAACATACTTATAGAAAAAGAGATCAGATTAGAAGTTGAGGGTGAGTGAGGGGGAATTGAATGAAGGCAGTGAAAAGGTACAAGCATCCAGTTATAAGAGAAATAAGTACTAGGGATGTAATGTAAATGACAAATATAAGTAACACTGCTGTATGTTATAGATGAAAGTTGTTAAGAGAGTAAATCCTAAGAGTTCTCATCACAAGGAAAAAATACTTTTTCTATTTCTTTTATTTTGTATCTATATAAGATGATGGTTGTGCACTGAACTTGTAATCATTTCATGATGTTTGTAAGTCAAATCATTATACTGAACACCGTAGACTTAACACAGTGCTGTATGTCAATTATATCTCAATAAAGCCGCAAAAAAATTAAGGTGAAATAAATATTTTTTTCAGTTAAACAAAAGCCAAGATAATTTGTTGTTAGCAGACCTTTATTATAAGAATTGTGAAAGTTTTTTAGATAGAGGGAAAAATCATACATCACTAGGAAACTTGGGTCTATACAAAGGAATGAAAATCACCAGAAATGCTAAATATGTGAATAAATAAAATGTTTTGTTTCTCAGTTTCTTTAAAGATAATTTCTTTAAAGATAATTGGCCATTTAGAGAGATGACTTGTGATTCCACCAGTTAGAGCATGATAATGGTTAAGTGGGGAAACTCCAACTTCAACTTCCTAGTTGTTTTTTCAGCGGGTCTTGTCATCTGTCGCAGTTTACAGTAGTGTCGATGAGTGCAGGGCTATCCAGATGATTTCGTGTGGCCCAGGGAAGGCACACAGAAATGTGTAATTCACTCCATATACAAAGTTAATACAGCAACGTTTTAACGGCCTTTATCGTAGAAAATACTGTTGACCACAAGTAACTTACATTGCACTAGAAGAGCCCCACAGTCTCTCAGAGATCAGCTGTGAGTTCTTCCCATAAGCTCACTTTCAGTAATATATTTAAGAAAATTTAGACTCAAATTGTCTCACTTTTGTAAATCAAACTCCAAGTCTGCATTGCTTTCTCTGTTAAATATTAATTCCACTAGGTGGAGGCATTTGCTTAGTTTTGTGGTTCACACTGAAGAAGCCTGCAATAGCAGGTATAATAAGCAGGAAAACAAGTCAGGAAGAAGGCAAGGAGCCTCCCAAAGCCTGGTGCTTTTCATTGTATTAACTTGGCAGATGCATCCATATTGCTGTAGAGTTCAGTATTTGCTTTCGAGTGTTTAGCAAAGCAAAGTAGCAAGTTTTCTATTTTGTTTAAATAGTTTGAACTTTAAAGTAGTCACTATGGGTTGAATAGATTATTAGCCATGCATCTTAAGTTTTCTCATTTAATTCTGTTAGATAATTCTTGCATTCAGTGATTTATTAAGTAAGGATAAATGTAAAATATATGCTGTTTTCATCATATTTCAGACATTCATGCTTAAGATGATAATGTAAGGGCCATTGTTAACATATACATATTTTTATGTAACACTTTATACTCATAGTACATTAAATTAGCCTTTATATTAGTAACTTCAAGTAAAATGTCACCTCTTCAAATTATGGGGAAATGGTATTCTTTTTTGAATATGCTATGCAAGTGGCAGAAATGTGTGAGACAATTCTTAAAGTAAAATATAAAAGGTCTAAAGGATTGTGGGGAGATTTTGTTTTCAGCTTGAAACTTTTTGTGGTCATCTTCTTGGGTTTCTACTTTTGTGTTTTTATTGGTACCAACATTATATGGAAACAGTATCTTTCTACTCAGATGGGAAATTCATCTGCTTTTTATTTTGTATTTGAAGTTATAATGCTCTGTGTCATCAGTTAATTGACTTCAAGGAAATAAGTCTGAAATGTTGAACTTTCTGAAAGCAACCCAATTTTCTTTTTGTGCAATTGGTTTTTAAAAAATCTTTTTTTGTGTGAATACTATTGTCTCTAGTTTTATTGTTTTAAAGATACTTTATTAATTATCTACAGCTGTTCTTATAAATTGATTAAAAACACAACAGACTTTTGTCCTCCCGTCCCTTAGAGAAAATTTATTTACGATTCATGTTATTATTATTTTTTTGGTTTTACATCTCTGGGAAAGGGATGACAAATCATGTTTATAAAAGTATTGTTAGAAAGAATTCTAACTTTTTGTATTTAATAGATTTTGTCTCCTTTTTAAATAATACATTTGATTTTTCGTTTCAAACAATTATTCATATACATTGGATAAAATAAGATGTCTCATTCATCTGCAAATCCAACAATTAATATTTTTTTTAGGATGAAGGCCTGGCCCGCCAGTTGGTGGAGCTAGGCTACCGAGGGACTGGAGAGGTGGTAAAAAGGGAAGATTTTGAAGCAAGGAAAGCAGCTATAGAGATTGCAAGATTGGCTCAAAGAACTCAGAAAACGTAAGTGTCCATGTTCCAAATTCAGCTTTCGTATTATATTGTAGAGTCTCTGGAAAAATCCAGTTTGGTTGGCATTGTTGTAATTTAGAAACGTTGGTTGGAGCAGGTGGGACTTGGAATATTCTGAGCATGTGTTTTGCAGATCAGAAACCAGAAGAACTGTGATATGGTTGCAAGAGGGCCACGTGCAACTTTGAGCTACTGGTTTAAGTATGGCCATCATACCAATAAAGTCTTGTTAAAACATAACTCAGTATTATTGACTTTACGTAGTTATATACTAGAAACGTGAGTGACTTTTGCCTTAGAGTTCTTTGTACTTTTTTTTTTTTTTGGAGTTCTTTGTACTTTTGAGGCCTAAATCCTTGGCATCATTTATGTTCTCACATTTTCGTAAACATCAGTTCATTGAACTCTATTAACGATCACTGGCTTTTGTTAATGTGACTCATACATGGTTGTATAAAATATGAATCCAATAAAATATGTTAAATATATTAAGAAAGAGATGTACACCTAAAGTAATAAGACATTTGGAAAAAGACTTGACAAAGTAATTGTCTATTTACTTTTTAAAAATGAATGCTAAATTTGTAAATGTTGGAGAGGATAATTACTTAGAAATGGGTGTATTATTCTTAGATAACATTTAAAATGTAATTATGGGTTGAAGTCTCCCATGTATTTATTATAAAAATAACATTTGGTAGTAGAATGTGAATTGGCTCTGGGAATGTGCAATTTTAATTGATCGTTCTAGTGGTTCTTGTGTTTCAGAACTGTAGAATATTGGAATTTAATATACTGACATTCTGTAACATATTAGTTTTCTATTGCTGCCATAACACATTACTACCAAATTAGTGGCTTAATGCAACACAAAGGTATTTATTCATAGTCCTGTAGGTCAGAAGTCAGAGCACAGTGGCTCAGCTGGGTTCTCTGCTCGGTGTATCACGAGGTTGAAATCCTGGTGTTGGCTGGAATGAGTTCTTCTCTGGAGGCTCTGAGGATGAGTCTACTTCTACACTTGTTTAGGCCAATTTCAGTTCCTTGTGATTTTAGGACTGAGGTCTCGTTTCCTTGTCATCTGTCTATCAGGGGACTCATCTTTGATCCTGTAGGCTCCCACGTTCTTTCTTATGCTCTCCATGTGGTCACCCTCCAGCAGGATTGTACCAACCTTTACATCTATCTGACCTCTCCTTACGCAGTGTCTTTCCTGACTTCAGTCACAGAAAGATCCATCCTTCTAAGGACTCATGTGATCATGCTGGGTCTATCTAGATAATCCATGATAATCTCCCTGTTTTAAGGTCTGTAGCTTACATCTGCCAAGTCCCTTGTATTATGTAATGTAACATATTAACAGGTTCTAAGGCTTAAGGCATTGGCATCCCTGAAGGGGCCATTCTTCTTACCAAAGGTAATTTATATAAAACTTCAATGATTTATTCAGCACAATTACACTTGACTTCTATTCACAGAAAATTGAAATGATGCAAAGTACATGTATACGTGTGATGTGTCTTATATAAAACATCAGGGGAGCCTTCTCTTTCTGTAGGTATCAATAAATGTTTATCAGTCAGAAGTAGAAGTATAGAGTTTTTTGCGAGATTTTATAAGGAATTAATATATATTCATGTTTTATTAGAGATGTGTCCTATTGTATATCAAGAGGAGTTGGTCATGTCTAAAGAGTAAATTCTATCTATGTACATGTCCATTTTGTGTTTGGATCAAAATGAGTATTTATTCTATGTAGTCGTGTCTTTAACTGGCCAGAGGTGGAAGTCATCAGACTACTTACTCCACCCAGAGCTGCTAGAATCGGAAGCCTTTTCATCTGCACATCTCCTCATCTCCTTTGTGGGGATGGGCCCCATATGTTTCCTCTTGTCCCATGTGGGAGTTACTTTGTTTCCTTCCCTGCCAGGTCCATTGTGTTATTGGCAGCAGGGCCAGCAGAGTGTGGACACCAAATATGTCCTGTGCCCATATTTGCGTGAGGATCACTTTGAAAACATGCCAACAGGTACCAACTTGGAAACACTTGATTCTACTATCAGATTATCGTACACAGTTCTGTGCTGTGTGGGTGAGCAGCCCCAGGTAGATCACAACCCTCTTCTCTAGCACTTACAGAGCACCCATTTCAAGAAGTGCTGGCACCTAAGAGTGTGGCTTGTCACAGATTAGCTTCTCCAGGAAGCAGAAAATGAGAGGAGTACAGAAGGCTTGCTGGGGAAGTAACACCTGTGAAAGGAAAAGTTAGGAAACAGCGCTAAGCAAGGTCAGAATCTTGATGCCAAAGTAACATGGACTCTCTCAGCACAGCAGAAAGCACCAGAGTGAGAGTTGTCCATTAAAGGAGTCCCACACTGGGTGAAATGTCAGGCCCTAGTACCCCGACTGTACCCAGCCATTGGCTGGGGCTGTCCCTCGAAAGTGTGAGCTCAGCTTGAAACTGAGGCAGACCCTGGAAAGGTTACAGGCTGAAGGCTATCAGCTCAGCACTCCTCACAGCCAGGTGGTGAGGCCTTTCTCCCTGGGGTGTCTGAGTGATGTGTCCTGTGCCTGCCACAGTTTGCCCCTCGTGATGTTCAGATCCATTTTGTGCGTGTAGGGACCAGCAATTCCAGAGCACCGAGGGCCTCTCTCCCTGAGAGGAGACTCAGAAGGGGAAAGTTAGTGAGATGAGCTACAGTCCCCATCACTGCTGGTTTGAGGGCCAGAGCTGGTTCTCATCATCTCATTCTGCTATCTATCCTAAGTTCCGTGCCTTCAGCTGTCACCTCTCTGAGTCTCAATCATGCGAATGAGGAGGCCCTGGTAACCCTACCCTCCCTTGCCTGGGGTTGCTGCATTTCTCATTCTCATTTAAAATTCTGTAAGGGAATATCAAAAGTTGCCCGAGTGAGTTGTCACTTGTTACTCTGCACCCCCGTTCTATAACAGCAGTCCCCTGAACTGATCAGCAACAATTACTCTTCACAAGATAGTGCCCCTGCTTCTTGCCTGCTGGCCCTTGGGCATAAGAAGCCCAAAGTGCTCATGTGGCAGCCATGGTTTTCAGTTCAGTGAGACACTTGCTGTTTTCCCTGGTGAGAGTGTTCTGAAAGATGGCACCTTACCCATGAACAATATTGCCCCTAAGCTGACAATTCAGCTGTGCCTTCACTGGGCCGTTCCAACACTTTCAGGCTGATAGCTTCCAATGGGGCAGTATGTGATGTGGCCAGAGGATCCCACGGTCATGAACTCCCTCCCACACCTCTTTGTTGTAGAGTGGGTTCTCTGATTGGGATGCTATGTTGTATTGGATTCCCTGCCGTGGACTAGGCGTTCTGTAAGCACTTAGATGGTGGTTCCAGCTGAGGCCAAGGGAGACAGAAGAGGCACACTCATACCTGGAATAGGTAAGTACTCTTGTGGTAGTGAACTTTTGTCCCCTTGGAGACAGAAAGGGCCCAGTGTAGTCAGATTAACTCCATTGTTCTCCTTGAGAAATAGGCCCTACCAGGGACTCAGTATTGGTCTTTGCTGCTGGCATAGCCTGGAAAACTTATGAAATGACAGACCCCACTTTTTGTAGGGTTTATCTGTCCTCCAGAGTATGTCTTATAAAAGCAATGTGACAGCTACCTCTTGTTCATTCTTCCAATCACTGTGATGTCACGGATGAAATTAATCAATGTGATGTTTTGTGGGATGTCCAGTTGGACCAGATTCCATTATAACAGATGATAGAGAGTTAGTATAGCCTTGAGGCAAAACTGTGGGTGAATATTGTTGTCTGTTTAATGTGAATTCATTGATTTTGACCTCATTTCCCGATTGGGATAGAAAAGAATTCACTCACCAAATCAGTAGCTACATAGCATGTACCTGAAGTCATATTAATTTGTTCTAGCAGCCAGCATGGCACCTGCAGTCAAGACTGCTACTTAGATGAGCTTGTGGTTGTCTACATTCTCCAGGATCCAGTGTGGGGATTATGCCAACTGCTAAGTATGACAGTCTAAATTAGAAATTCGACTCAGTTATCCCTGGGTGGATCCATGGACACAGTAGACCTATTATAAACCAACCCTTGGCCACGACTCCATTTGTTATCTTAGACCTCCATATGTCTTTACTCTAGCAGTAGGACCATGATGATGCTTTGGATCTCCAGATACCAATCTCAGCTATGACCTTGCATCCAATAGTCTATCAGCTATCTGGGTATTCTCCTTTCCTTAGTGTCTACTCATTTAAGTAAATGGTTAAAAGGTCCTTTTGGGGAAGAAAAGAGGGAATCATTGTAATGGATACTTTATATAGCTTTACAGGTCCATCCCTTTAGGACTTGGTAACTTCTTCAGTCAACCGGTTCTTAGTCTGAAAACTGGATCAGGTATGGATACTGGGCAAGACATCCTGACTTTCTATTGGGATGACTGCCTTCAGTGTCAGATAATCAACTTTGATTTCTTATTGTGATACAAATTGAATAATACCATTTTTGGCTGCCCATCTGTTTTGCCCAAAGGAATGCCATGTTCAATAAACCAACTCTATAACTTTCTGTAGGTTCCCTAACCTTGGCAACCACTCTAACCTCATGGGTCTTTACAATAATTACAAGCATCTGGATTCCTGTGGTTAAGCTCCACCTCTTAGCTTCTATTACATCAAGACACCATTATTCCCATTCTTCTCAGCAAGCCAGGGTCTGTGACAGGCTCTTTTACATTTAGCCCTGGCCTGCATTGGAGAGCCATTACTGAACTTCTTTCTTAGTGATTCTGGTGCCATTCTGACAAGCACATTTCTGATGGCCTTGGTGACTGGGTATCCTCTGTGTCCTTCCATGGGCCATAATCCTGTAGTGGATCTTCTGGTCTCACAGAATATGTCCATTGTAGCATGCCCATTTTCCTAAGCCTTTTAATTTATTCCTCAAAATTTGTTCCTGCAATTTAGGCATTTCAGTTGTACTTGTTGTGGGCCAT